GACTGTAAAATGTAAGTGAATATAAAATTACACCATTTCATAAATGACAAGATGGACTGAAAGGAGTAGATGCAATGAAGGAGGAAAAAGAGGAAATGTGAGCTTGAAGATCTACCTAAGTTATGAAGAAGGTCAAGGTGGTGGTGGTGGTTTAGTCATGAAGTCGTGTCTGACTCTTGCAACCCTGTGAACTGTAGCCCGCCAGGCTTCTCTGTCCATGGGATCCTCCAGGCAAGGACACTGGAGTGGGTTGCCATTTCCTCCTCCAGGGGATATTCCTGACCCAAGAACTGAACCTGGGTCTTCTGCATTACAGGCAGATGATTTATCAGAGCTATGCGGGAAGGCTGCAGGTCAAGGTGTGAGATGTTAATTGGCCATGTAAGTAAGAGGAAGAAGGATATTTGAGGTGGGAGGACAGGATATGCAGAGGCTCTGAGGTAGGAAAGAACTTGTTTAAGGAACCAACAGTAAGCCATGTGGCTAGAATAAAATACATGAAGGAAAGATAGAGAGTTGAGATTTAGAAGGCAAAAGCTATCACCCAGAGAATTATCAGTATATACTAGTGGCTCTGAGTTTTTAAGGTGGTGCTAACAGTAAAGAACCCACCTACCAATTCAGGAGACGAGAGATATGGGTTTAAGGGATACAGGTTCGATCTGGGTCGGGAATATCCCCTGGAGGAGGAAATGGCAACCCACTCCAGTGTTCTTGCCTGGAAAATCGCGTGGACAGAGGAGTCTGGTGGGCTACAGTCCATGAGGTCGCAAAGAGTTGGATACAACTGAGTGACTTAGCATGCTAAGTGTTTAAGGTGTCAGCCTTCATACCAAGTTAGTCCAGGTTTATATGGCAGTAGATAAAGTAGTTTCTAGAAACAAGTTATTTCCTTTCTAATAGGAGATGGGTAAAACCTAGTAGCCCACTGCCTTAATCCCAATGTTAGATACCAGTAGCCTGCAATAACTGGCAGGTGAAATTAGTAAGAGGGATAATTGATGCCGTCACAAACTTGCCCAACCGAGCTTTGTGCAATATATTTTGGGAGTTCACCAGCGAGTTTTGTGTGCTGGCACAGATGGTGGTACATGCTGAGACTTGTTTGGATCGAAGGTGTAGCAGCTAGGTAGGGCGTGGAAAGAACGCACTTCTGTCTTCACCAGGGGCTTTTATATGCTCGATAGCTAGCTCCTAACTTAGTGCTTTCTCCTTTTCTCTCAACTAACACAAAGTCATTTGCTTTTAGTTCACCCTGTGTTCTACTGGCAGACTAACGTTCATATGCAGATTTGATCATAACTTCCCTCACCTGTGAGCCTGCAATAATTCTCCTTTGTCATATCAATTTCAAAATTCATATAAGAATTCAGAGCCTCAAATGATCTCCAGCCTTTTCTTGTTTTAAATCCAACTCAAGAATATACTCCAGTCCCTTTGATATATTCGAGATCTAACCCCACAAACCTGAGTGGACCTTCTTCCTCCAGCCCAGGCTGATGCTTTTTTGCCATGGAGTAGTGGGAAAAGCTGAATGCAGCCTCTCTAGAATATCACCAAGAAACTTTACTGTTTCAATATTTGGTGACTTTTTGTCTTTGTCAGTTTCTACCAAGGTCTTCTTTCCCTGACTCATGCTTCCATCCCTTTTAGGTGTGCTTTAAGACCCTAGAATCAGGGACTTAGTCTGTAGGTCTTATTGATCAGACCCAGAGTTGGATAATTAACTCTGCTGTAGTGGAAAGAACAGTAGTTTTAGAGCCAAACTGATCTGGGTTTGAATGACAGTGCTTCTGACTTACCAGTTTATGACCCTGGGCAGGGATGGTAGGGTTGGTGGTTACTTAACCTTTCTGAGCCTCATGTTTCTTATTTTTAGGCTTCTGCATTGGTTTCCTCCTTTGCCAAGAGGGAGGTGACATGAAAGAAGTGCAGTATGTTAGTAGACTTTCCATTGGGAATTTTGGAACAAACAATTTTGTGGCACCCTGGTCACTGTTCTAACATTCCAAATGTAATAACTGGTTGCTGGAATTGGAATGAGGAAAAAATTCTGGCATAAATATGCCTGGGAGGGGTTTTGTTTTGTTCTGGAGAAATATGCCCAAACCTTAGAGGAAAATGATCTATTCTATGAAAGATTACATATAAGCCAGGATTCTTTTGACTCTCCAGATTTGATTTCTCTAACAGTATCTGACACCAAACACAAAACGCCTTAGGTATTTGACCTTCAAAAATCAATCTCATTGGAAAAATAGTCAACTGTACTCAAAAAATACATTTGACTTTTGGATAGTGATTTGGAGCCATAAGTTTTTCCAGTAATCCGATCATATGGGTCATGATTTTAATCCTCCCCTCCCCCACCCTCTCTCCTTCCCCATGCCTCTGTGTGCTTGGGAAAACTGAGATGCAGAGTTGTTTTGATATGGTGAGAGACACACACTAAGTCTTTGCTAAGGATTTTAGAGTCAGCAGCTCTAGTTCAAATCCCAGCCCTCCTGTACCCCCTGCCTCACGATAGGTGAGTTATGTCACCTCTCTGAGCCCGTTTCTTCAATGAGACAGTGATCACAACACCTGAAGCCCAATATGTGGTTCACAGTAAGCAATCAGTGACTCTTGGTTTCCTTTCCCAAGAGTACAAAATTTTTATTCCAAACATCATTTCGTTAACCTAGTCTGTCTCAGTATAATATTTAAGTGTCTGGGTGTTATATAATGTATATGAAATATATATGAGATTTTTAAAAATACACAGTGTCTTGTACTCAGAACCAATAAGAAAGAAAAACAACTTCCAAATTTCTCACATTCAGCAAGTCAGTTAAGTTTGATGGTAGCATAGGTATTTTGAGTTAGCATTAGTGTGAGAGACAAGACTGAGGAACTCCCAGGTTGCAGAAACTCTTCACCTGCTTCTTGGTTATGTTTTCATTTCTGTATCCCACCTGCATCTTAACAACACATCTGTCATTACTGTAAGGTAGCATTTCTGCCAGTAAAGTAAGGGAGCAAAGCTTTCTATACTGCCTTCATCTACCCTGGGGGAAATGATTGCTCCTGCACTTCCTCCCTCCCTCTGTACTAGTTAATACTGTTGGATGCAATAGACAGATCCCCATCTCAAATTAGGGAAACCTGCTGGAAGGGACATCTCTCAGAGTGGCTATGCTTGTAAATAGGCTTAGAAACAGCCTGTCTTTGGGAACAGCTGGAGCTAGTAACTTGAATGTCACCAGATTCTGTTTTTTCTTTTCTGTGCACTTCAGATTCACTGTTATCATACTATGTGTAGACTGGTCACATTTTTCTTTTAGTCCATGTGGCAAATGGTACCTGGTCCAAAAGTTTGGAAAAGAGACACAGTGACACAGCTTATATCAGATGCCCATCCTGGATCAGGAAGCTGTGATCATGTAAATACGTGGTGGCTCCTTCAGGTATTATATGGATGAAGTGGAGTGAGAAGAGCAGCACAGAAGGAGGGCTCTGAATACAGAGTTCCAGAGCTGCCCACACACTGCCATCTTAGGCCGTGGGATCTGAGCTGGGAATACAAAAAATGCTCCTGAACCGAGTTTGCTTGCAGCCCAGTGATGGGAGATGGATGTACAACTGAAGTGCAATAGAACGATGTTGGTTCTGTAATAGTGGATGCATTAATAGGAGTAAAGAATAGGTGGTCAGTTAGGTTGGCTCAGACACAGAAGCCCCTGTTGGCAATGATGGCTGCACAGTTGGGCACCTTGCAGACTCTGAAAGCCCTTGAGCCTGCTGACTTATTATCTGGGGACTAGGTATAGCCCTGGCATTTTCTGAGTATGAATGCCCTGTGCTTTGTCGTTAAGAGGCCTCTCCATCAGAGTGCCTTTTTGAATTATTCAGTGAGTTTTTTACAAAGAAAAATTAAGTATATCTTGAGGGTTTTGTCATTTTCTGTTTTAGAGAATTCATATGATCTGAATATTCATCCCCTATGGTAGCTTCTTAAACCTATTAAAAGACAACTTATTATAAGACAGATTCATCAACTTGTTTCACAACTCAGGTAACCTGGCACTTAACTGCTGGTTAATTACAAATCCCTTGCTTTTAAGTAGCTTATAAATAAGTCCTGTTTCCTGTCATGAGGCCCGAGAGCGTTTGCCATAGTCCCTATCCTTTGCTGTTGCGTGACCTGTGGTATATCTATTGGTGGTCTTATGTTTATCACCCTTTAGTTTGCTTCCTCAGACAGAACAGACTGATTCTTTTCCATCTTGTGTTGCGTGAGGTCAACTTTCTATGTCTTATTCCACTGCTCCATCTTTGCTCCAGTCTCTTCATCTTGGCTTTGCGTTTCACATTTATATTTTACCAAGGCTTTTATTGTCCTTAACTCCTTGATTTTTCTCTCTGCCCTTTCTTGCTCTTGCATGTATTTTTTAATGAAACCTTCTGTTTTGATATAATTGTAGTTTTGCAGAAAGTTATAAGTATTAACAGAGAAATACTGTTTACCTTTAACCAAGTCTTCCCCAATGGTAACATCATCACCTTGCAAGACTACTGTCTAATAGCATAATCAGGATATTGACATTGATATAGTCAAGATACATAATGGTAGCCTTAACATTTTGATTTTTAAGGTTGCTTCTCATCCTTACTCATCTCTTAGACCCTTCTCTCCTTGCTCTTCTCTCATTCATTGTCCCGGGGATTTAACCAAATCTGATTTAAGGCTCTTACAAGACTCAATTTTCTCTCTGATAGGCTGGCTAGACTTCATGCTGTCAGAGTTTCTAGGGATAGAACTTGCCTTCCCTAAATTATTTTCCTAGAATTTGGATGTCTCTCGGTGGCCTTAAAAGTCATGTGAGAACCGGGTTTGTTTGTGAGTTAATTTTGCCATAAGTTCACCCAGGTCACGTGAGGGTGAAGAACGTGTGGAGGTTGGTATGGTACTAATCCTCTGAGACTCAGAGCCCTAAACAAAGACACTTTTCCCCCCAAAGGACAGTTCTGCACAGAAGATGTGGATGAGTGCCTGCTGCAACCCAATGCCTGTCAGAACGGGGGCACCTGTACCAACCGCAATGGGGGCTACGGCTGTGTGTGTGTGAATGGCTGGAGCGGGGACGACTGCAGTGAGAACATCGATGATTGTGCCTTCGCCTCCTGCACCCCGGGCTCTACCTGCATCGATCGTGTGGCCTCCTTCTCTTGTATGTGCCCAGAAGGAAAGGCAGGTAAGGCTGGCAGAAGAACAGAGCTGGAATGGGGAAAGGACTGGTGAGCATTCACGACTTCTGCCTCCGTCTCTTTCATCCCTTTTGGGCTATGTCCTTTTAAATTTCATCTATTGGAACATGGCACTCAAAGCTGTTCTTCTGGAAGTGTAATTGGTAGCCAGAGTGCTGTGAAGTCAATCTTCTTCCTTAGGACTTTTAGCTCTCAATTTCATGTACCTCAGTGTTTCATCCCCCCAAAGTAACTCTTGCCTTGGAAACATCTGTAACCTCCTTAAGATTTTAATCGAAAAGACTGCTCAGAAATTAAGGTAAATTTCTCAGAAATTAAGACAGAATTACTCACAAATGGAGGTAGGCAGTTAATTTTAAGAAGAAATAATCCATTTACTCAGAAAAGGTTAGCAAGAGGGAAACAATGAAGTGTATTCCAGCTCTCAGTATTGCCCTGTAGCGGAAGGTTTTCACCAGCTGCAAGGTTAACATTGCTCTAGCCTCTCAGTTTAACAGTTGGGTCTAGGAATCGATCAGTGAGAGGAGGAATGTTACAGAAGGAGATTGCTCAGCGATAGAACTTTGTGCCCAGCAGTTTTGAAATGTTCCTGTATCTATGCCTTTTCAAAAGCCCCGCCTCCAGCTTTGTAGAAGAAGCCTTAGTCACCTCTTCTTAAGCTAATTGCAGGCTGGAAAATCCAGTTCCCATGTGAACTATGCAGAACATGGGGCCTAGTCATGTCTTCAGAGTCCTGAGGGCACTTGAGCCAGGAATGTTGACACTATTAAAAAGCTGCCCAAGTATAGGCTGATGATGTTCAGCTGGGTTTTTTTTTTTTTCCTTCTGAGACTAATGAAATGCAGGTGGCCCCAAGATCATCAGGTAGCATGATCTTGGGAAAGTGGGTTGCCAGATAAAATATAGGATGTATGTAATATTTGGGACATAGAGTAAATAATTATTCATTGTTTATCTGAAATTCAGATTGAACTGGGCAGCCTCGGTTTTTATGTGTTAGACATGACAGCCCAGTGGGAAGGATATCTCCCTTTTCCTTACTCCAACATCTAACCATCTCACAAATCCCTCACATTATCTACCCTTGAGGAGGGGTCCAGCTGAAGGCTCAGATTCAGGGTATAGAGAGAGGTGTCTGCAGAAGCTTCTTGCTTTGCAGTTAGCTGCAGCATGTCCCTAAGGCAGGATCAGGCGAAGGGGAAATTGCCTCTAAATCTTCACTTTGGATTCTGATATGCCAGTCCTAAGGTGTTCAATCCTCCATGAAAGAGAAACTCATTCTCCAGGTAAGGGACATTTTCTCTTTCTTCTCCTTACCTCACCCCTGTGACAGGTCTCTTATGTCATCTGGATGACGCGTGCATCAGCAACCCCTGCCACAAGGGGGCGCTGTGTGACACCAACCCTCTGAATGGACAGTATATTTGCACCTGCCCACAAGGCTACAAAGGGAGTGATTGTACAGAAGATGTGGATGAGTGTGCCATGGGTGAGTACACTGAACCTNCCACAAGGGGGCGCTGTGTGACACCAACCCTCTGAATGGACAGTATATTTGCACCTGCCCACAAGGCTACAAAGGGAGTGATTGTACAGAAGATGTGGATGAGTGTGCCATGGGTGAGTACACTGAACCTTTCCTATCCCTGTCAGTTGAACTCAGCAGACATTTCAGCTGAAGCACATTTCACTCTGTGAGCCTGTTTCATCCAAACCTCAGACCTGTTATATGCCTTCTGTTTACAACTGGCCTTTCAGTGTAACCACATAGTCTGTCCTGGGAATTCAAATATATAGAAGGTTTGTGCTTGACTCTTAACATGGATCCCTACCTTAGTGACTGTTTGGGCATAAGAACAGCAGACACACATGAGAGTTGAGATTGCCCTCTTTTGTCTTTCTTTCCCTATTTCCGTCCTTCCTTCTTCATTTAATTATTTACTTACTTTCTGATTGATTGTTTTCTGATTGATTGATTGATTTGAAGGACATAATAAATTGAGAATCAGATTATTAAAGGACTGGCCCTAATGCTACTAATCTGACCCATTTCTGTAGTCCACATTTGTGGAAGCTCCATCGAGTCCTTTGATCCTGGTTATGGGTGCTTGTGTCTTCCAGCCAACAGCAATCCTTGTGAGCATGCAGGAAAATGTGTGAACACAGATGGTGCCTTCCACTGTGAGTGTCTGAAGGGCTATGCAGGACCTCGTTGTGAGATGGACATCAATGAGTGCCACTCAGACCCCTGCAAGAATGACGCCACCTGTCTGGATAAGATCGGAGGCTTCACATGTCTGTGCATGCCAGGTACATGGGCCGTCGGTGTGTGACATCTACACAGGAGACCTTGCCCTGTGCCTGTCTTAGGCAGAGCACTCAGTACAGTGTGGCGTTCCCATAAGCTCTCTTGGCATTTAATCCCTAGCCACAGGACCCTTAGTGGCTTAGTGGCTTCCCTGGTGCCTCAGTGGCAAAGAATCTGCCTGCAGTACAGGAGCCGCTGGAGACGTGGGTTTGATCCCTAGGTTGGAACAATCTCCTGGAGGTGGGCATGGCAGCCCACTCCAGTATTCTTGCCTGGAGAATCCCATGGACAGAGGAGCCTGATGGGCTATAATCCATTGGGTCACAAAGAGTCGAGCATGACTGAGCGACTTAGCACGCGCATATGCAAGGGGACCCTTAAGGACGAAGGCCCATGTTAAACTTCTTAGAACTATGGAAAACAATCCCATCATGTCAAAGCCCAGATACTTGTGAGAGAAAAATTCAGAAGGTTTTTAAAATGCAAGTATACTTTGATTTAATAAAGTATTTGTCATAAAAATTCTTTAAATAGCAAGCTTTCCTTATCCCCTGATATATTACAAATAGCATACCATTCCATTTATAGAAAATAATATTACCCATAATTGTATAGTAACTTGCTATTTATCTCATGGTGAGATACACATGCTGTGTTATATCTTGGAACTCTTCTGCAGAGACCTCTGCTTGAATCCTTAGAGAGCACAGCTGAACTTCAGCTTAAAATGACAGCTGTCAGGGGCTGCTTGGCCTGATTACGTGTGCTAAGCGCTCTAGCCTTGGCAGGCCCTCCTGACTTTGACTTGCACCCCAAGTACAATAGCATCTCTCATTCATTCAGCTGGTCCTTAGGACTGGGGACCCCGTGGGCCTGGCACTGTCCTGAAAGCAATGCCTGGACTGATCCGAGAATGTAGTTCAGTCTTTGTTGCCATGCTAGGTCTTACCAAGGTCTTTGGAGGTAACCTCTCCTCCGTCTCCACAGTGACATGGATATCCCAGGATATGCCCATGTCTGACTGATGCTCACAGTGACTGTTTTCAATCACGGCATAGTCCTCTTTTCCCTCTGCAGAAATGTTCATACTCATAGAGGATGTAGTCATTTTTATGAATTTGTGCTTTCTTGGCTAGAATATGCCTTTGTCTTTTTCTAAGCCACTTGTGTGGTCCATTTTGTTCAGGTTTCAAAGGTGTGCATTGTGAGTTGGAGATAAATGAATGTCAGAGCAACCCTTGTGTGAACAATGGACAGTGTGTGGATAAAGTCAATCGCTTCCAGTGTCTGTGTCCGCCTGGTAAGTGCCCACCACCTGCCCCTGTTTTCTTTGAAAGCACAAAGCCGACTGACCGCAGGGAAGAGAGGAGGGAGAGAATGTGTGTGGGCTCTCCATGAGGAAGTCATTAAAGTGAGCACTTTGGGATAGGAGTGTGTGTGTACAGAAGTGGGGGATTTGTTTCAGCTAGTATATCTTCCAGATCCTTTGTGGCCAGAAGTCCAAGTCTATTCTGAATGGCCTATGACCTCGCCGTCTGTGTGTACATTTCAGGAAGTTCATACCTCATGGAAGCCCTTAGTTCTAGGTTATTCAGGATTTTATTTTTTCCCTTGAGTCATATTCTTGAAACCCTTCTCTGAGATGATTATTTTTAGACATTTCACCCGTGGGTACATTAACGGCACAAGTCAGTTCTTTCCAAAGAATGCTGTGTCTCTCCTTTGGCCCCCTACAGCCTTCATGGAAGACATGCTGAATTTTTTGCCTGAGGCTGTAGCCTCTCTTGTTGTTTCTTCAAAGAGAAGGTCCCAGTTCCTGTGCAGCTACATTCACTTCTTAGGGGGTTCTGCCTGTATGCATTCAGTTCCTACTTTAAGTTGAAGTGAAATCTATACTGGGAAGAAAAAGAGGTGAGAGAGACACCCATGGGCCTCTGATGCCCTGAGCCTCACCCAGTTATCCCAGGTACCTGTGCAGGAGAATAATTCTCATGTGCTGATCCAGGGGTATAAACCCTGCCAATAACTACCCAATTCCTCTTGGGCATCATTCTGATAGTAAGGAAAACATAAGATAATCCTTTGACTTGTGTCATCATGTGCCCTTTTAAGGATTCACGGGGCCAGTTTGCCAGATCGATATTGACGACTGTTCTAGTACTCCATGTCTGAATGGGGCAAAGTGTATAGATCACCCGAATGGTTATGAGTGCCAGTGTGCCACAGGTAAGAATTTTTCACTTCTTATTCCCCTGGTAGGTCCATCTGCCCTAAATAGGAGACTGTCCTCTTCTAGCTGCCCTGACAGGCCAGTCTACTAATGGGCTGCTCTGTGTTTAGAAGGGGCTTCTTCCAGCTCTTTCTTGCTGCTCTCACTGTTTCCTTCTACAACACCTGCTTCCTTCACCACAATGATGGCCTGGCCTGGACATTTCCATTTGGTGTCCCCGTCTTTCTAGGGCAGATTTTGGCAATGGTGAGTTTCCAGCTGGCTTGCCTTATTCCTCTGGAAAAGGGAAGAATTCCAGTTGTCATTGGGGCTTCTCAGCAGGAGGCCTGTCTCTGTGTTTCTTGAGGCAAGTGATTGAACAAAGGCTCAGAAATGCAGTGGTAGGCAAGTGCAGAGATTTTCTGCCTGAATATGACTGATGCTTTGAGAGTCGAATGTGTATCTGAACAGGGGAGAGAGCTCTGTCTGGAAAAGTTTGAGTCCTCTTTCCTGACTCCTGCTACTAGAATCAAAAAGAATGTTTACAAATATTCTACATTTCTGATCTGTGGCAACATTTCCAATTTGGGAGTGGATTTGAATAAGCCAGACATTTCTTGTTACACATTTGCTTCTGCACAGACCATTATTGTGTAGAGAAGGACGAGGTGGGAGTGGGGACCAGGATGGGGAATACGTGTAAATCCATGGCTAATTCATTTCAATGTATGACAAAAACCACTGCAATGTTGTAAAGTAATTAGCCTCCAACTAATAAAAATAAATGGAAAAAAAAAGAAATTATTAGAAAAGATGATTTCCCAGTTTCTTTTTTATCTGTTATTAAGAAAGAAGTTATGAATATAATTCAAGACATTTTTTCTTATTTTTTAGAAAATGGATTCTTAAAAGATTTTAAGCATCATGTGCATGATTTTTTTTCTGATCACAGAAAAGCAAACTAAGTCATAAAAATAAACAAAGAATTACTATTTCAATAGCATTAGAATATTATCACTTATTAGGCCTTCTCAGAGTGGGCCCTGTCAGATGATCCACTCAACTTCCTTTTCTTTTCACAAACTCTGGTCTCTATTGGAAAAGTTTCAGGTTAGGTCTTCTTCTGGCTAGATTATGCTTATGGAGTATAACCTTCACTGGAGAGAATTTAAACTTTGGGCTCATGTTTAAAAGGGAGGAGAGTCCTTCTAAAGTCTCTTAAAAGTATTTAAGGTTGGATAAAGGAACTCTTATTGCCCCTTTTAACTGTCTTAACTTGGTCATTTTATTTAACAAGTATTGGTTAAAAACTTACTATATTTGCATAGATTCCTGGGAGGTTGGGAGGAATAAAGAAAAGTTCTCTGACCTCTCAGGTCAGAATTGGAAAGATAAGGTACATGAAGTCATTAATTTAGTACCTATATATACAGACTGGTTTGGGAGGAAAGGCATATAGAGATAAATATATTAAGGAAAATTATAGAGAGCTATTCCCCACTGAAGTCCAGTATGCAATTAAGATGCAATTAAAATGTCTCTGCAGTGAATTTACTGATCATTTTGAAGAAGCTATTTGAATTCTACAGATCTGATGTGAACAACTTCATTTTAAACAAAACTTGCTAGGCTTGCCTTATACATCAGTGCAGATAGTCAGTTCCAATTGCTTATGGCCCACAGTATGAATTGTTTAAGATATGGGATGTGTAGGACTAGAGGATGCTAGAGCTACATGTATGCTCAGGTGTGGAATGTGCACTTTGGGTTTAAGTATCTTGGGCACAATTCCTTCCAAGGATTCACTGGTGTGTTATGTGAGGAGAACATCGACAACTGTGACCCTGATCCTTGCCACCACGGCCAGTGTCAGGATGGCATTGATTCCTACACCTGCATCTGCAATCCAGGCTACATGGGTGCCATCTGCAGTGACCAGATAGATGAATGCTATAGCAGCCCTTGCCTGAATGAGGGTCGCTGCATCGACCTGGTGAATGGTTACCAGTGCAACTGCCAGCCAGGCACGTCAGGTAAGCCCACTCTTCACTGCCTTTGGAGTTTTCACTGTTTCTCTAAAACAGTTTACACAGATGTCTCAGACTTTCTCAGCACATGTTTAGATACCAAAAATATAGTCTTGATTCTGAGAAGCACAGCCAGAAACATCTCAGAGGCAGATAGCTCTAGCCAGTAGGGAAGTCAGAGACAATAGCTTCACAAAGCTGATGATTCTGTGTATGTGTTTTTCATCAAAAGGAGGCATACCACTTCAAAAAAATTGAAATTATTATTGAAAATTGAAATCCTTCTTTCTTTTGTGGCTCAATTGGATTGTCTTTTTTGTTTTAACTTCCACCTTACTCAGATTAATGAAGTTGGTCCTTCCCTCTCCATCCCTCCCGTTCTTCCAGTAGTTTTTTCTCTGTTTTAGAGTCCAGTATCTTTAATGGAAAAGGAAATGGCAACCCACTCCAGTATTCTTGCCTGGAGAATCCCATGGACAGAGGAGCCTGATGGGCTATAATCCATTGGGTCGCAAAGAGTCGAGCATGACTGAGCGACTTAGCACGCGCATATGCAAGGGGACCCTTAAGGACGAAGGCCCATGTTAAACTTCTTAGAACTATGGAAAACAATCCCATCANTTTGGGCATTGGGGGACTCAGAGGAAGAGGAGAGACTCTGCAACACGTCTGGGTCATTGTCAATTAGAATGCAGAGCTGTCGTTTCCCATCCCCAGTTCATGGCTGTTTCCTGCCTCCAGTTGAATGACGGCTTGTTAGTCGTGAGGGCATGCTACTCCTTGCTGGGGAAATGTTGAGCTGTTTTCTCAGGCAGCAGCATTTCACAGATTTCAGTGGATTCTGTTTTACTTATTTGAGAAATAATTATGGTCACAACTGTGGTTAATGGACAGAGAAGTTCTGTGTCTCAGATCAAAGGAAAATGTATTAGTGGAAGATTAACTAGTGTGTGCCTTTGTTAGAAGGGAACCTGCCAATACAAGGAGTGATTTATTGAGAACTCATTCTCCATTTAAGGAAAATGGCCTGTGTAGGGGGCAAAGGTGGGGGAGGCGGTTAGCTGCCCTTATTTTATTTTGTTATTTCCAAATCCATTTCTTCAAACTTGTCAAAGGCCCTGGTCTTCATCCAGGAACTCGTACATGCCAAGTTTGAAAACAAAGTCCTTTTTGAGTTGCTCAAGCATACGAAAAACATCCCATGCCTTCCCAGTTGAAAATGCCTTCCCCCTCCCCACGTTTAGATAACTCTCTAAAAGAGCTGAATAGATCTTTGTGAAACCTTCCAAAAGCAATTTGCTTCCGGGCTGGTCCCCAGACATGAGAAATTGCAGTACGAAAAGAAATTTGAGAGATTTACAAGCAATTGAATGGATGCCTTTAGAATGGTGGGGCTGTTTTAGGCTTTGCTATCGTTCCCATTATAAAAATGTACTGGAAACCTGGGTGAGTGGTGGGCTGGCAAGCATTTTGTTTTCTTTGGGATTATATTATTATGCTGGGATGGATCAGGTGTGTTACCTGGGGAGTACAGAGAAGTCAAGGTGGAAGTAGCTGTCAGTGAGAAAGGCAGGCAGTAAATATCAGTGGTGTGCAGGCAGCATGGAGGAGGAAGGCACAGGTTCTTTCAGAAAACTGCCAAATTCATTCCTGTGACTGTTTAGAGAATTCACGCAAAGAGATGCAGACCGCATAAAGAGATCTTGGTCTGTAATGGGTGCAGAAGGACCTGGCATGTACAAGGAGCTTCGGTGAAAGGATTCATTCAATTAACCATTATGAATAGACTTTTGAGTTGTAATCTAAGAATCAACAACCCATTCATAATATAGTCTGAGTTGGTAGCTTGGGGTTTGGATGAGTGTATGGATAGAAGGGATACTTTACAATCTGCAGGTTATAATTGTACTTTCTCACTCACTAAGTACTTAAAGTGCAGTATACTACCCAGAATCACTTCTAATACCTTTTTTCACCTGTGACCTTAAGTTTGGGGAGTTTCAAGTTTTAGAAACAGCATTGACTAGCTAAAAGAATCATCAGCAAACAACAACTACAAAACAGACAAGCAGAAGGAATTCTGTGAAAGCACACAGAAGCATCTTACAGATTCCAAGTGAGAATTGAATAATGAGGCTTTGGGGGGATTAGCGGGAAGTAGGGCCACATGCAGACTGTAGGTCACCCAGTTCATGTTCCAGCGTTCCAGTGAGATAATTTCATTGGCCCAGCTTGAGCTGAGTGTCTGTTCCAGCTAGAATACAACGTGGATTTGGGGGCAGAGTCCCATTAAACTGCATGGCTTCCTGGGGCCTGCCTTGGTCTGTTGTGGGTTAATTGGATTGTCAATCAAGGGCTGGACACATCTCCTACAGGTATCCATTTGTAATTCAGGAATATTGAAACCTTTGCCTCATCTCTGGCTAGCAAGGCAGCATAGCCATATTAATCACAGTGACCAGTGTGGTGCGGTAAAGTGTATAGAATCCAGAGAGCTGGGTTCACGTCCTAGCTGTGCTGATGTAATTGTGCAAGTGCATGATAAAATGGGTGTAACACAAATTGATTTGGCACTGAAGTGAGAAAAATAAAGTTATATCAAAAGGGAAGCAGAGTATTTTGCTCACAATAATGACTCAATACATTTTCAATATAATTATTAATAAATATTCACATAAAGTTTGAGTGAATAAATATTACGGCATTTTGTTGAGGAAGTTTCATTTGTTAGTTTATATCCTAATTATCAGGCTTCATAGACTGATAATTTTTAGACTTTTTAAACTGCCAAGATATTCTTTTATGATATCCAAATTCATCACTAAATTCATGTTAAGTAATATAATAGTATTTTTACAGAATAGTGGTAACAGTAGGGATTGGTATATCTCTACTATTTAGTTACCTATATCTATAATTAAACTTTCCTGAACATAGTCAAACTCTGCCAGTCATCTGGGGAATAGGCCAGAAGGAAGGCAACATACCCCAGGAGAAAGCTGTGACTCCATAAGATTTGTCCTGAACTTTAGCCCTTAATAGTAACATTCAGTAGCAAGCTTATAGTAGTAGATACAAGTTCCAAAATTCTAATGAAAGCTTAAATTTTACCTCTGGAGCACAGTATTGTCATAGTTCTTTCCCTTGAAGTGGCAGGATTGTTTCTTTCACCTAACTATTTGCTCAGTACTTAGGTCTGAATAGTCCTGGTTCGTCTGTCAGTTGCTCTTTCAATTAAAATGGGATTCTGTGAAAAAAGTTTCAGTTCAGTACTCAGTCATACAACTGCTTTTCCTGGAGACTGCTCTGTATGTTGGCATGCCACAGAATAGCTTTATGTGTATTTTCTATTTCATCACACAAAACAATAGAGGTATACTCAAGGGTCAAGGTATAATCAAATCATAAAGTTAATAATTTTGGCAGCTTCATCAAAGTCATTCTTAAGCAAAACTATCTTTTTTTGTATTGTTTTAACTGAGTACATGGAGGTGAAGAATAAAAAGTATACTAGTACAGTACAGTTTGGCACTTTCTGGATTCCTGCTAAGATGCCAGCAGTCATACCTCCATTGCTCTTTTTTTTTTTCAGTAAGATATTTATTGTAATATAAAGCCATAGCTTTATCATCAAGATGGAAATGTGGGAACTGGGTAATAATTTGGTTGGGTACAGTCTGATATTCTAAAGCAATCATGTCCATGGAGATCAATTTAAAAGACCTACATAAGCAGTTAATGTTTAAATTCAAAGATCCAAAACCAGGATTTTTGTCTTCCAACACCAACTCTTCTTCCTCATTCACGACGTCTGTCAAGAGTATTATATTTTCCTAGACATCCAGGTATGGTAACTGAATTTCCATGACTTCTCCCTTATTCTCTTCATTGACTCAGTTTCCAAGTGATAAAGACTATAACTCTTATGACCTCTCACATTCATCCTTTTGCTTTCATTCCTACTGGCATGAAAGCATTGGGCACCATTTCTTTAAACCAACTCCATGTCATGGCCTGCCCAATGTTCTTCTCACATTAATCCATCCCACACCATTCACGTTGACCTTTCATGCCACTCCAAATCATTGACTTGCTAACCAAGGCCCTTTCAGTGGGGTCCTTCATTTATGCTTCTCATCTCACCATTTGTCCTTGTGTCCCACCCCTGGGGTTAAATAAATCAAAGTACGGCTCTTACTGTGCCTCCTGCTGGCTGTCAGCTGCCTTGCAGATTTCTTCAATGCTGAGCCACACTTTTTTTTTTTTTAATCTTCAGTGTTTCTGAAATTAGGAAGCACCTTATGTTCAAGGTCGTAGAAAACCGTCAGCCTCAGAATTAAGGCAGAAGTGATGACAGGCTCCTTGCTGCCTGTGACTGAGAATTGTTCAGTGTGTAAGAGGGATCAGTTCATCTAACTGTCATTGCAGCTGTATATTAACTTTGGATCCCTGATTTGTACTTAAAATGAGGCAACATATGCTATAAACTGCTCTGGATGCTTGAGGCAAAAGAGATAAAAATCTCTGCCTTGATGGAGCATACATCATGAAGAACTGTTGCCAGGTTCTGAAGACTCTGTCTGTCACCGGGTCTGGTGGACTTTTTTTTTTTAATCAATTAATTTGTTTTAATTGCCTCCATTGCTTTTGTAACAGTGCAAATGCCAACACAATAAAAAAGACAAATAGTGGCTTAGTGTGATTAATATAATCATTTGACCTCATGATACCTTTGACAAGGTCTGGAGGACTGAACTTTCAGAAATGCTACTCTCCTGTATTCAGGGTTGGCTAGATACTCATCAGATTTCTTAATACCCAGCATCACAAACAAAGATCATTGGTTTTTCTGTTCTAATATTGCACGGTTTCTCTTTGCAGGTGTTAATTGTGAAATCAATTTTGATGACTGTGCAAGTAACCCATGTGTCCATGGAGTCTGTATGGATGGCATTAATCGTTACAGCTGTGTTTGCTCACCAGGATTCACAGGTAATGGTCCTTTTTGTTGGGAGACTCCTTCTTCAGCCCCCTCACTTTGGGAAAAGGGCATCTAAAGGTTAGTTACTTTCATATATATCTGACTTCTTTGTCTCTTGGAAGGTTAGAAGGTTGTTTCTGTGCTTCTCTGGCCCACTTTTCTACTTACAGGCCTTCCCTGAACTGTAACATGAAACTTTTCATTAGTTACGGTTTTTAGGCCATGTGTTTATAGCTACTTAAAAAGAGTTTCTTTTCAGACCATGAGTTTCCATCACTGTGCTTAAATTATATAGCTTTCAAGTTTTTCTATACTTAGTAGTGAATGCCTTCTGTAAAGGCATGGCCAAGGTAAAATTCTGTGAACACCTTATATGATTTTTTCTGAGTACTTCCTCTTATAAGTACTTGAGTAAGGTCAAAACAGCAAAGCAACCTATTTTTGGCTAGCATAGTGGGTTTTATTTTCTCTCCAGGAGGGAGAAAGTGACTAAAATAAAATTGGTTATAATTCTTCTTAAATTCCTCTTAATTAACGCCCCCCCCCCCAGCTAGAACATTTATATACACACCATGTGTGCACACACACAAACTCGCATGCATCTTTTCTCTTATCTCTTTTGTTGCTAATAAGATTACCTTTACCTTTTACCTTCCTGATCAAAAAGTACTAGGAACTGCCAGGAAACATGAAGCCTCTTTCTGATACATCTGTTTGTCAAAGACACCATCAGAGGCTGTGTGATGTGCCAATCCCATTCTTTCCAGACAATGCCACACACAGTAAAGCACTTACATAACGATGTTACCATTTCATAAATACCATGTGGTCATTTGCAACCAATGTGAGAAACTTCCCACAGAACTTTTTAAACTATGATGTCAGAAAGCCAAGAGATGCCTCTTTCTTGCTGGGAACTTACCTCTCTCTGTATTTCACAGTCCTTTGCACTGCTTGGTGTGATTGTGGACACAAGAGAGGAACGTTTGTGGCCTATGTGGTCACCGTAATCTCTTTCCAGTAGAATATCACTCAGAAGACCAGGATGATGAGAGCTCTTATGTCTAGTACCCAGCACTGCTGGTGTGGAGCCAGATGTACTTCTGTATCCTGACATATGTTACTCCAACATTGACAGCCGACTGAATTCCTTTCAGACAGAATGGCATATATACTTCTTTTACATGGGTAATAAGAAGAGAATGGCTACCATTTATTAGGGCCTTGTTTTGAGGTAGGCATTAAATCAAGTGCCTAGTCTCATTTAATTGTCACTACTACTATTATTTCTACAGTATTGATGAGAAACCCTGAATTCAGAGAGCTTAAGTAACAGTACCAATGCACTAGGGCCAGCAGTCCGCCCCGGGAGGTTCTATTAGAGAGTTCATACTTACTGCCACTTGACTGGACAGCGTAAGTGGGTGCCTGCTGTGGTTTCTTTTTAGATATATAAGCCTTGCTGCTGCTGCTGCTAAGTTGCTTCAGTCGTGTCTGACTCTGTGCGACCCCATAGACGGCAGCCCACCAGGCTCCCCTGTCCCTGGGATTCTCCAGGCAAGAACACTGGAGTGGGTTGCCATTTCCTTCTCCAATGCATAGACTCAACTTAAATTTTTTGGAAATGTCAGTGAATCATATGCTGTCTCTTTTTAACATTTAGCAAATCAGGAAGGTCATGGAGGGAGGACATAGGCTAAAAATATTCTAAAATAAACTTAAGGTGTAGCATGAAACTGCATAACCAAGGAATGGAATGTTTTGGTTACAGGGTGGTACCCTGTTCTTGGAACTGTTTTCTACATCTGTTTTTTCTATTTGTTTTTTCAAGTCAGTTGCTGAAAATATCAGAGGCAACTGTGTTATATACTCATGACCCATAAATATAAGGCGTTTTAGTCTTGCCTTTATTTTAACACTGTTAACTTTTTATTACAATTTTAATAACAGCTTGAACAGATTTAAGGAATTTTTTTTCAGACAAAATTCTCTATTCTCCGCAGACCACTTTATACTTACTGATTGAATAGAAAAAGTAAGAAATCATGTGGTACTTCAGTAGACTACTTTTCATTTGTATAAACTACCTTTTCAGTTTCACATTCATGTCCATTATTTTGCTGACTTCTTAGAATGGTCCATAAAAGTAGATAGGTTGTAAATGAAACCAAAAGCACAAGTAACAAAAACTAAAATGAATTTCTGGGGGGCAAAAAAACAATATGTTGAAAAGCTAACCTATAGAGATGGATAAAAATATATGCAAACTATGTGTTTACCAAAAAGTTAATGTCCAAAATATATAAAGAATCCTACAACTCAATAGTAAAGAAGCAAATAATTCAATTAAAAATTAAACAAATAACAAGAAAAAAATTCAGTAACTATATATAGTGACAGATGTTAACTAGACTTATTGTAGTGATCATTTTTCAATATACACAAATATTACATCATTGTTTTACACCTGAAACTAATATAATGTTATATGTCAATTATAAAACCCACTCCAGTCTTCTTGCCTGGAGAATTCCATGGACAGAGGAGCCTGGCAGGCTACAGTCCATGGGGTCGCAAAGAGTCGGACACGACTGAGCGACTAACACTTGAAAAAATGAAAACACATTAGTCAGGAGTAGGGAAACCCAATTTAAGAAAATATTACTGGAATATTCCCAATAATTTCCAGGTATAAGATACTGATAATGTTCACTGTAATTCTCAAGAGCTACCTGATTTAACCACATTCTGATTATATTTTTAGGCTGTAAATCATTATTTGTATTTTGAAATCCAGTATCAACTGAAACAGGTAAAGTTTTAAAAGCTTTACAATCTACCAAACCCTAGTGACTTTCAAATGGCGTTTGAAAGGCTAATGATGATGAGTAGCTACCAATATAGCTAATCCTCATCACAGTGTCATTATGCAGCTGTATAAAATTGCCAAATTCAATGAAAAAAAAAGATTCGAGGTTTACAATCTCATCTTTCTTTCAGTCTCTTATAGGATTTTCTAATCAGGAGTATAGTGAATAAATATTTATAAATTATAACTCTGTAAATGCTGAACATGCAGTTGTTTTTGGTTCTCCAGTCGCTAGTGAAGGCACACTGCTAAGCACAGAGGGGCACTGGGTTATGGGAAAAGTGGTAGACAGTGAGTTCATGCCTTTAAAAGGATTTAAAGTGTGATCAGGAACACAGACTGCATACATCAGAAAATGACGGGAGACAAGGGAAGTGGTTTAAAGCAAGGTATACACATTCAAAAAAGTATAAGCGATGAAGGAAAACAAATGTTTAGAATCAGGGGGGAAATGGGCAAAGGACGTTCTTCTTCCAAAGAAGACATACAGATGGCCAACAGGTACAGGAAAAGATGCTCAGCATCACTAATCATTGGGAAAATGAAAATCAAAACCATAGTGAAATATCATGTCACACCTGAAAGATTGGTTGTTATAAAAAAGATAAGAGATAACAAGTGTTGGTGAGGGTGTGGGAAAAGGGGAACTCTCATGCACTGTTGATGTGAATGTAAAATGTTACAGTTATTATGGGAAAACAATATGGCAGTTGTCAAAAAATTAAAAATTGAACTACCATAAGGTCCAGGAATTCTACACTTGTGTATCTAAAAGAATTGAAATCAATATTTCAAAGAGGTATTTGCACACACCCATGTTCATAGCAGCACTATTCACAATAGTCAAGATATCAAAACAACCAAAGTGTCCATCAATGGAAGAATGAGTAAAGGAGATATGTTGTATGTATACAATGGAATATTATTCAGCCACGAGAGAGAGGGAAATCCTGACATTTGTGACAACATGAATGGAACTTGAGGACATTCATTCAAATCAGACAGTGAAAGACAAATACTGTATGGTATCACTTAATGCAGAATATTTAAAAAGCCAAACTCATGAAAGCAGGGAGTAGAATGGTGTATATCAGGGTCTAGCCTAGGAGAGTAGGGGATTGGAGAGATATTGTTTAAGGGTACAAATTTGCAACTAGTAGATAAATAAGTTCTGATTGAATGCATAGCATAGTGATTATAGTCAGCAATACTATAGCATTTTAAACTTTCAAATTGCTAAGAGAGTAGATCTTAATTGTTTTTTACCACAAAAAGAAATGATGGTATGTGACATGATAGAAGTGTTAACTAACTGTGGAGGTAATCATATTGCAGTATATAAAATATATCAAACCAACACATCATATACCTTAAACTTACACAGTGTTATATGTCAATCATGTCTTAATTTAAAAATTAACAAAAAACATAGATAGGGACTTTTCTTATCCTCATTTAACAAGTAAGGCAACTGAAAGAGCTTGGTGTGTCCGTGGTGTGTCCGTGGTCTTAGCTAGTGAGTCTCACTGTTAGGACTGTGAGTTCCCAGAAGGCAGGCACCTCCCTAATTGTCTTTTTAGCCAACATTTTCTAAAACTGTGTAGCACTCAAGGAGCACTTAGAAAATATTGCTGAATGGACGACCAGCACTCACATATGGAACCTCTGACATCCAACACTAGACTCTTGAGTCTGGGCTATACCATGCTTTCATTCATTAAATACTGATTTGTTAGGCACCTACCTACAAGATGATAAACACTGGTTAATCTTTCATTCAGTAGTTACTGAGCCCAACAAGGTGCATAGCCTTGTGCTGGGAATTCATGAAGTGCTGGGATTTCCGATGCTGCTTAAAGGATGAGAATTTGCTAGCAAAGCAGCTGTCAGTTCACCAGGTAGACCACACAAAGAGGCACTTAACCCTCTCAGCTACAGATGACTTGAAAATTGATTCTGCTGAGAGCTTTAAAAGCAAATAAAATGTGAGAAGTGTGACTTCTGAGAAGATTTTTCCCAAGAAAAGACAGAATTGAAAAAGCTTTTTGTTCTCATTCTCCACTGAATTTCAGACAGAGGATAGTGCTGTAGTTAAAGAGTTGTGGCTCTTATCTTGCTGCCAGTGGCAAACATCTAAAAAAAAATCAGAAGTTGAAGCTAAGAAAGTAGTATTGTAGAATTGGTTATTAATAAAATACTTAAGAAGAAAATAGCAACTACTATCAGATTATGGGTTTTTTACCACACCAACCACCAATAATGGTTTAGAGAGCAATAGAGAGTGAAAAAATGTTAATACCCATACTTTAAAAGGGTGTGTATCTATTTCATTTGGAATTTCCTGTTCTAATTGCAGGGTTACTCTTTCTTAAATAAAAATGCCTAGTTTTATATGAATCAGAAAATTGTATTCTTTGAAATTTATAATTCCTTCATGGCAATTGCTTGTCACCAGTCATTTATAGAATTATGGGTTATTTCAAAATTTTATATCGTTTTGGAATATATAGTTAAATCTCATTTATTCAAAACTTAACAAAGCAAAACCCATATGTAACTGGCATTTATTCCACTTTATAACAGACACCTTTTCAAAGTGCAATCTTGGGTGTGTTTTAGAGGAAGAACATATTCATTTCAATTTCATATATTCTGAACATTTACATTATAACTTGATGAAATAATAATTGTCTACATCAGAATTTCTCAAATTTAGTATCTGAAAAACCTACATTATTTAAAATGTTACTTTGGAGCTGTAAGGATCTTCTTTTAAAACAAGTACTTTTAGCAATCCTTGCACATTAAAATTTGAGAACCACTGGTCTATATTGAGAGACCCTGAATGGTTTTCTCAGTGATCAGAGAACAATAAAATTATATTTAGGTTTCTCTTCTTCCTGAGGCAGAAAATAGATTAATACAATTCTGAAAGTGAAAACAAATGGCTTTTCTTTTTAAGCAACTTAATCATTAATAGCCCACTCACTGAACTTGCCTGTTAATTGAGATTTACCATATATAGAAATGTAAAAGATTGACTAACTCTTACAAGAATGAATGCAGTAAACCAGCTGACAACAGTGATAAGGAAAGCTTGAGAGTTCTCCGAACAGCAGCAAGAGGAGCAGACAACTCTGATAGCATTTGATGTTCTCTTATTGAATATTTCATGTAAAGTTTCCCATTTCTAAACTGGAGTGAAGAAACACATGTTGAAACACTACAACACCATTCCAGTGTTTTGTTAACTTTGTTAGATTATCGAAGCACAATGCTCTCTGCTCCTTCCTTGCATGGCTCTGAGTGCTCTTGGATGTCTTATTCCTTAATCTTGACATTTGGTGCCCACGGCATTTTATAGCCTAGGCAGATAAAGGTGCCTGCACAATAGATCTCATGGTCCTGGGTCTGTTCCCTAAGCATTTTGGATTTGACAGAAACTGTCCCCCTTATCTGCAGGGCAGAGATGTAACATTGACATTGATGAGTGTGCCTCCAATCCCTGTCGCAAGGGTGCAACGTGCATCAATGATGTGAACGGTTTCCGCTGTATCTGCCCTGAGGGGCCCCACCATCCCAGCTGCTACTCACAGGTGAACGAGTGCCTAAGCAATCCCTGTGTCCACGGAAACTGCACTGGGGGCCTCACTGGGTGAGTAGCTGTCATGTATTCATCGTTTCTTATTGACCTGTGTCAAGCCAGTTGAGTGTTAGTACTGGCCATACCCTGCAGCAGTCAGTCAGGACTTGAGCTGAGACTAGGCTGAAGAGGTCGGTAATCCACATCATAGTCTTCCATCACCACTTCTTCCCTGCCTTCATGTCTGAGTAGATGGAAAGTAAGGAGGAATGTTTCATTCCTCTGGTGGGTAGTCAGCACATGGAAGGAGTCCAGGGTTATTTTCTGAGTCTTTAGCTGTTGTGCTTTTAGTACTAACTGCAAGATTGAGTTCTGAGGGATATTCTGTTTGACTTAACCTCCTGCTTAAAGAAAACCCAACTCTGTTTCATAATGATACCAGTGGGTACCTCTGAACTAGAGCTGGTTTCAGCTAGCTAGAGTCTTGGCCCTGAGGAAGTGTTCACAGTTGGCAAGCCCCTGAGAGTTGTGTAATGTGTTGGCAAGTAGTTTTCTAGAATCACAGAGGGTGACATTTGGCTCCATGAGACAGTCCTATGCTCTTGCTTTGCTTGCCAGAGGACGGGACTTTGGCCGGGACTTAGCGTTTGCCATGCTTACAACAGGTGAGAGAATGAAGAGTACATTTGGAGGTAAATGGGCAATCAAGTGATTTCCAAGATGAATTAACTCAGTATTCCTGTTTCAGAGTATAGCAGCCTTCAAAGCATCCCAACCTATTTACTTTTTTAAAAAAAGAATCACCAGACAAGGAGGCTGTTATCTCCCGACATTACATTCTAAGTGCTAATGGTGCTCAGATTGTGAACAATATGCATATATTTCAGATGCCTTCATTTTTGTTCCATTTCCCACTCAGCACCCTTGGTGCTTTCTGGGGGCAGGGTTTCAGGTCAGAACAAAGCATGTCTCAGAAGTCAGATATCCCAGGAGCCCTTTGGGGTCACTTAGAGTCTCTGATACTGCCCTACTTTCTGAGTATCTGTTTTACACCAGAAACAAGTGATCTAAGGTTTCTTTACATTTACTTAGCAGAAAAGAAACTGCAGATTTACCAATGGCAATGAGTCAGTTTGTCCCAATTTGTTGTACCAACCACTCTTTATGTATGAAAGCCCACTTTACTTACTTATTTTTCCAGCATTTTTGGTGGGCCAGGAAGCTGTGTTTACTAAATACTCCAGATTGGCCCACGTGATTCACAAGGTAATCCAAGTGTAGGTTTGAAGAGGAACAGAAATGAGATTAGCCTACCCAGGAGCTCCTTGATCCTTCACGTCATCAGAATTTTGTATTTCAACTGTGACTTAATTGTACATTCATACCACAACAGTAACTTATTTCTGTCTTCTTTCAGATACAAGTGCCTCTGTGATGCAGGCTGGGTTGGCATCAACTGTGAAGTGGACAAAAATGAATGTCTTTCTAATCCATGCCAGAACGGGGGAACTTGTGACAATCTGGTGAATGGATACAGGTGCACTTGCAAGAAGGGCTTTAAAGGTGATGCAGAAGTGCATATTTTTATGTCCTTTTTCTGCCTTTTTGTTGGTGCATACAGCTTGACTCACTTCTTTCTTTCCTCTTTTTCCTACTCATTCATATAGGAAACTTAATTTGAGCACTTATTATTTATAGGGCAGTTGGAGAATAAAAACATAAATAAATTTAAACATGGATTCTATTTTCAGACTAGCAGAGAGGTGAGCTATTGAAACAGTACCTTTAAGGTGAGCAACTAGAGCTCCACTCATACAACTTTGGACGTTCTAACTGGGTATTCTAATTGTAAGCTCCAGTGTAGGCTTGATTCTATGATAATTCAAAAGAGATTTTGGTAGGAGAATGAAAATCTTGTTTTACTGTAATTATAGCAATAATATCATGGGAGAATCCATGTATTTAAAACCTTTCCAACAAATTCTCTTAAACATTGAGATATTCTTAGATGATATGTAGTCACCTATGGCCTTCTGGAAAAATGCATAGTAGTGAGTACTGTGTAAAATCACTTTTTGAGTTGTCTCTGTTATATTTCTCCTGTCACTTTTTTCTTTAACCCTTGAGAGAGAAACCTGTGGGTAAATTATACATATTTGTACTCCTTGATCCATATAGTCATTTATTTCACAACTCAAAGATGTGCCAGGCTACTGTGATAGGTCAGTATGTTCCAGTGTCACTTTATTTGATAACTTGACATTTTTCTAAGATCATGTTTTAGTCATTAACTTTTTGACATTCAGATATATAACATCTGTAAAGAAACTTACAGATTTAAAAGCACTTTTATTCCTTTGTCTCTTTGAGACTTGCTGATCAACAAAATAAATATCAAGATAGTTCATAATCACATGTCTAGTGATTAACAGAGTACAGTTTGAACTCAGACCTCTATACTTTTAGGCCATTATTTTCTTTTTATACACGGCTGTACTTCCTCAGTTTTAAGACTCTGTGTCAGGCTCTATTGCAGGTATAAAGGTGGTGACATTTGGTAATGTCCTGTCCCCCCATGAATGCTTCCTTACTTTTCTCTTTTTTCATAGTGGGAGTAGATTTTGTGTCTTGGATCAGGGGGAAGAGCTTTGTGACTTCAGAAAGCACCACCACATTAATAGTAGATACTGTGCATTTGAAAAAGTGGGCATAAATCAAGAAGCTTTGAGTAACTGTTCAAATATTTTATCCCTTGATAACTTCTAGCCTGTTTTTAAGCCCTGACCAGATACTTTGTATAGAAGCCTCTATTTAGATATAGCAGTAGCTTTTTACCCTAGTGAACTTCTTGGTCCATTATAGAGAAATTACTTGTATTTGGACATTCATTAAACTTTAAAGCTATTAGAATATATTGTTCTTCCATTCATTTTTTGATTAAGCAGTTTTACTGACTGTATGTCAGGGACTTTATGCTGAAATGAATGAACTTTATGCTGAAATGAATGAACAGGTGTTTCAGTGGCTTGAAGAAATTAATGCAGTTTCTGAGGTGTTTAACGTTTATCCCTGAGAGCATTGCTTAGTAATTGAGATATTGAGGAGGCTCACAGAAAGTTTCACTGTCTTTGATTTTCCCCCCTTTTTGTCTGCAGGCTATAACTGCCAGGTGAATATTGATGAATGTGCTTCGAATCCATGTCTGAACCAAGGAACCTGCTTTGATGATGTAAGCGGTTATACTTGCCACTGTGTGCTGCCATACACAGGTGAGTCCCGGGGTCCAGGGGCCAGAAGGGATGCTCAGTCTTGCCTTGTCATTCCAAACCTCGGAGTCTCAGAGATGGGGTCTGTGGGGGCAGTGATGCTGCCCTGAGGAATCATGGCCTGACCACCTTTCCTGCTCTCACTGTCTAGGTCATCTGCTCAGAGACAACACTGTGGCCTCTCTAGATGCAAGTGGTAGGGATACTTGTTTGCCTTTATTTTTTAGGGTTTGAAAAAATTTTTTTTAATTATACATGTCTTGAATTGACACATAGCTGATGGTTTAGTCATTATCTGAATGGACTATATGGCCTGTGCTCTTGGTCTTAGTTTTGCCAACTCAACAGCTACCACTTATCGGTCATTTACTATGTGCCAGACACTTTATATATTTTGGAGTATTTACTCTAGTGCTCACGATAATTCTGTAGAGTAGAGGTTCCTATTCCTGTCACCGTTTTATACATGAGCAAGCTGAGGCAAAAAGAGGTTACTTGCTGAAGGTCACATAGGTAAGTAGTAAATCTAGGATTTGTCCCTAAGTCTTTGAATCCAAAGCTTGTCCTCTTAACTGTCCTTCCTCTCCTCACTTTGATTGCCACTGCGTCCTCTGCAGAGAGGCACTACCCCTTGGATGGCGATCACACACAGAAGACATGGATGTGACTTCATTTCGTATCAGGTGACTTTGTTTCAGGTGGTGTTACAGGAGTGTGCTTGGACATTTCTTTCTATTCTCCTGCCTCATTACTGCCGTCTTGTGACTGGTTGTATTTGTGTGGCTCACTTGCCTCATGTCATCCCTTTAATGGCTTTGCATGTTTCTCCAGTGTCTTGCATGCAGGCAGGAGCATGGCTGAGTTCTTACTCCCCTGGAGTCTTGGCCTGTTGATAATAGCTGTTGCTAGTGTCTCTAGGCTGTTTAGAGTGGCCAGATGCATGACTCTTTTACCTGAAAGACTTGGTACTACATTGCTGTCTTTGTCACCTCTTTACAAGAAACATTCATGCAGAGAAACTGCATTTAGCCATCCTGATTGAAAAAATAAAAATTATTGGAGATCCATAGCTGTCCCCAGACAGTCTAAATAATGTCGTTCCATAGCAATAGCAATCACACTTGTTGGAACTGAGCAGATCATATCATTTACAACCATAAAGACTGAGAACTGATGGTAGTAGGGAGATATAAGCAGGTGTCATTATGCTTTGACACATTATAGGCTTATCTGAATGTGACTAAGGTACATAGCTCATTGGGAAAATATTTGCCTTCTTGCTATTCAACACTGTAATATATGACTATATGCTGGCTGTTGACTTTTCTACATATTAGGATATTATTAAAAGAATTTACTATGTGTGACCTCTGGGAAATTATATTAGATATTACAGTTTAAAATTTCAGTGCTGAGTGTTGCTAAAGGTTCTGAGTGTCACTGAATTTGGCCAGCATGAAGGGAGCTAAGCAGTGTTGCCTTTCCTTGTGAGCCACTGTTGTGACCAGACACATTAAGAACTTGTTAGGGGAACTTCCCTGGTGATCCAGTGGTTAAAACTTCATATTCCAGTGCAGCGGTAACAGGCTTGATCCCTGGTTGGGAGCTAAGATCCCACATGCCTCATGGCCAAAAGGCCAAAACAAAAAACAAAAGCAATTTTGTAACAAATTCAATAAAGACTTTAAAAATGATCCACATTGGACTTCCCTGGTGGTCCAGCAGTTAAGAATCCATTTGCCAATGCAGGGGACATGAGTTTGATCCTTGGTCCAGGAAGATTTCACATGCCTTGAGGCAGCTAAGCCCGTATGCCACAACTTCTAAAGCCCATACGCCTAGAGGCCATGCTCCCCAGCAGGAGAAGCCCTGCAATGAAAAGCCTACTACCCATTGCGACTAGAGAGTAGCCCCTACTTGCCACAAGGCCCGTGTGCAGCAACAAAGACCCAGTGCAGCCAAAAATAAATTAATTAATTCTAAAAACTGTCCTGGGACTTCCCAGGTGGTGCCAGTGGTAAAGAACCTGCCTGCCAGTAAAGGAGACATAAGAGACATGGGTTTGATCCCTGCATGGAGAAGACCCCCCTAAAGAAGGGAAAGGCAACCCACTCCATTATTCTTTCCTGGAGAATCCCATGAACAGAGGAGCCTGGTGGGCTACAGTCCATGGAGTTGCAAAGAGTTGGACACAACTGAAGTGACTTAGCAGCAGCACAAAAAATTGTCCACATCAAAAAGAACCTTATAAGAAAAGGAAAAATGGTTAGGGACATTGACGAAAATTTGTGGTTATATTTTTTTCTTTTTGAATGCAAAGTTTTAGGATAAAATTTTAAATTGAGTTAGTTGTTACTTGACCTTATTTATTTATTTTGTTGCAACGTTGTATTAGTTTCAGGTGTACACTATAGTGATTCAAATAGTATACTCCATGTAAAGTTACTATGAAATAATAGCTGTATTCCCTGTTCTGTGTCCACATAGAGTATTTATTTTATGCCTGGTACTTTCTGTCTCTGAATCCCCCACCTCTACCTTGGCCCTCCCCCTTCCCTCTCCCTCTAGTAACCACGGTTTGTTCTCTATACCTGTGAGGCTGTTTCTATTTTATTATATTCATTTGTCTTGTTTTTTAGACTACACAGATAAGTAATAACATACAGTATTTGTCTTTTCTGATTTGTTTCACTAATCATAATACCCTCTAAGTCCATTCATGATGCAGATGGCAGAATTTCATTGTTTTTTATTGCTGATTCATATTCTGTGTGTGTGTGTGTGTGTGTGAGAGAAAGAGAGAGAGAGAGAGAGAGAGTCACAAATCACATCTTCTTTATCCATTCCTTTGTTGATGGATACTTAGGTTGCTCCCTTAACTTGGCTATTATAAATAACCTAATGCTGATTTGAACATTGAGGGGCATGTATCTTTTTGAATTAGTGTTTTCATTTTCTTCAGATGTATACCAAAGAGTGCAATTGTTGGATCATATTGTAGTTCTGTTTTTAGCTTAAGTAACATCCATACTGTTCTCTATGGTGGCTGCACTAGTTTACATTCCAACCAATAGCATCAAGGTTTTCCTTTTCTTCACATCTTTACCAGCATATTTTATTTGTATACTTTTTGATGGTAAGTTTATAATAGCCAGGACATGGAAGCAACCTAGATGCCCATCCGCAGACGAATGGATGAGGAAGCTGTGGTACATATACACCATGGAATATTACTTCTTGCTATTATTTGGAACTCTGCATTCAAATGGGTATATCTTTTCTTTTCTCCCCTGCCTTTAGCTTCTCTTCTTTTCTCGGCTATTTGTAAATCCTCCTCAGACAACCATTTTCCCTTTTTGCATTTCTTTTTCTTGCGGATGGTCTTGATCACTGCCTCCTTCACAACGTCACAAACCTCTGTCCATAGTTCTTCAGGCACTCTGTCTATCTGATCTAATCCCTGAATCTATTTCTCACTTCCACTGTATCATCATAAGGGACTTGGTTTAAGTCATACCTGAATGGTCTCAAGGTTTTCCCTACTTTCTATTTTATATACAGTAGTGTGTATATATCAATCCCAGTCTCCCAATTTATCCTACCCTTATCACCTGTAACCATAAATTTGTTTTCTACATCTCTGACTCTTTTTCTGTTTTATAAATATGTTCATTTGTATCATTTTTAAAATTACACACATAACTGATATCATATGACACTTGTCTTTCTCCGTCTGACCTACTGCACTCAGTATGACAATCTCTAGTTCCATCCATGTTGCTGCAAACCAGTGTATTTTTAAACATCTTTAGTCACTTTTATCTCGGATAGGCTCTTCTACTCTGTGAAATGTAAAATTATAAAATACATACAGGAAAGTGCTGAAATTATAAATGTATGATGTGATGGATTCTCACAAGCTGATACACCTGTGATCATTATCCAGATGAGGAATCAGAATGTCATGAGAACCTTTGATGGCAGTTTCTCCCTATGTTAAACCGTCATGTCTATGATACGAATGGCATGATGGGATTGTCATTTAAAAATGTTTGTATTAACTGAGAATTTCTAGCTTCTAGCAACTAGTTTCTAGTTTCTAGCAGCTAATATGAATATTTTTAAATGGACATCCCATCTTGCCATTCGGATCATGTCATTTCACCCCTAATAGTGATGTTTCTTAGTCTTGTTTGCACATTGAGTGACTTCAAACTCAGTTAAATGCCTGGGTTCATGCCCCCACAGATCTAATTTAATTGGTCCAAGATGTGCCCTGAGTTCCCAGGTCAGATCTTAAGCCCCAGTGTGAGGTCCACATTCCCCCTGATTTCATCTCCTAGCTGTGCTTCCTGACTCACACCATTCCAGACACACCAGCCGCGTCTCTCTGTTCCTTGAAACCAAGGGACAAACTCCCATACTGGCCAGTACATTGGCTCTTCCATCTTCCTGGCTTGCTTTCTCCAAGAAAGTTAGTTTTATTACTTCTCTAGGTCTTTAGATAAAAGTCTAGTCCTCAGTGGCCACCCCTGACATTTTATAGCTCCATTCCCTGATTTAGATTCTCGGCAACAGTAGCTATCCAACAGAGTACTATTTTCTTTTTTTCTTTCTTAGGCTCCACAAGGACAGGGCTTTCTGCCTGCTCGTTAGGTGCAGGGCCCCCACTCATGAAGCAGTCAGTGCCTGTCACAGAGCCAGAGATCAAGAAATGTTTACTAAATAAACAAATGATGTTTTCAAGTAATCAAAACCCTGCTAAAGAGCTCTGAGTCAGCATCGAAGAACCAGTAATGAGACTTCAGTCATGACCATCATCATTAAGTACATTCTAAACCAAAGCTGGTTAAATGAAAACAACCCAGGTTAGGTATGATTCACAGCAAAATAGTGATGCGCTGTCTGCACCTCACACTTTAGAAAAAAGAAACCCCTAGAGAAAAGATCATATTTTCTTTCTTGGGGCATTCAGGGCTTTCGGGACAGCCAGACATCTAGAGACCTCCAGAAAATGTGTGCGTGTGTGTGTGTGTGTGTGTGTGTGTGTGTATAAAATTCCCCAGAAATTGGAAGTAAATTGACTTTAACCTCTCTCTTGCATACATACTTTTTTAATATTTTCTTTGCAAATTCCTCATCTTGGGTATTAGAAGCTGCTTAATATACGATTATGGAAGTGCTCTCACTTGCAATGATTGCTTTAAAGCACTCAGAATGGCATCCACCCCACTCCCCAGCTGTCTGCTGTCTCAAGAGAACTTTCCTACAGTAATTCCATTATTCTCCCCAGGAAATAAATCTTGAAATAAGAGCTCCTGAACTTTCTACCCTGGCTAAAATATTGGGCTAAAATATTTTCTGAAGTACCAAACTGATAAGAAAGGTTAGGGCATGGGGAGGCTGGAGAGTGAGAGAAACTCATCAGTAGAGCAGAAAAAGGACAGATCAGCAAATACAGGGCTATTTCCATTTGTAGCCATAAGCACTGCTGATAAGAATGAAGTCACAATTCCTCTGCGCCCAAGCTTTCCTCCTCCTCAAAGGGGCTAACCTGTTGTTCATCCTGACCTGCCTCAGAAACAGTGAAATTCCTGACACTTATGTTTGAAAAAATTGTTACAGTCTCTTGATACTTTGGTGTTTATATTGTTATCATTGCTAATAATGAAAAACAAAGTGTGATCCTTTGTAGTCTGGATACTCACCCTCTACCCAATCTGTCTGAACACACTGTAAAATTCCTTGTAGTCTCAGCAAATATTTGATAAAATAATGAAGCTCTCACAGTTCTGAATTCTCTCTTTCCTTCACATTCAACTTCACATAGGCATTTCTTAGTAGAGAAATAACATTAAAAGAGTCTTCCAAATTGTGGGGTTCTATTTAAATTCTGTTCTAATGACAAAATTCCATTCTATTAAACCATAAACCAGACAATTCATTTGCTTCATTTTTCTGTTCTCATACTCCATGAAAATCCTATTTTCTACTCTTCTATCAGTTAGAATTTTAAATAAATATTTTAAAGAATAAAATATACCCAAAGTTCACCATTTAAAGTTCATTATTAGAGATAACAAATGCTGGTGAAGATATAGAGAAAACCCCTACACTGTTGGTAGGAAAGTAAACTGTTACAGCCACTGGGGAAAGCAATACAGAGGTTCGTCAAAAATTACAAATAGAACTATCATAGGATCCAGCCATTCCACTTCTGAGTATATATCCAAAGGAAATGAAATCATTATCATAAAGAGATATCTGTACTCCCATATTCATATTCACAGCAGCATTATTCACAATAGCCAAGGTATGGAAATAACCTATGTGTCCATCAATGGGTGAATGGCTACAGAAAGTTGCACACAATGGAATATTATTCAGCTTTCTCAAAAAAAAAAGAAAGAAAGAAAGAAATTCTGTCATTTGCAACAACATGGATGAACCTGGATATTACGCTAAGTGATGTAAGCCAGAGAAAGGCAAATACCACATGGTATCACTAATATGAGGAATCTTAAAAAAAAAAAAAAAAAAGTTGAAATCATAGAAACAGAGCAAAAAAGTTGTTCCCAGGCAGTATGTGGTGGGGGAAATGAGGAGAGATTGGTAAAGGAGTACAAACTTTCTGTTATACAATGAATAACTCTGTTATAAGATGAATAAACTCTAACATATAACATGGTAACTATAGTTTTAACACTCTATTGTATAATTGAAATTTGCTAAGACTAGAACTTAAATGTCCTCACCACAAATAAAAAGGGAAATTAATGTGTGAGGTTGCGGGATGTGTTAATCAACTTGATGGGAGGGGAATTATCTCACAAAATATACATATATCTATTCATGTCATGCACTTTTAAAAAAACTTACAATTCTGTCAATTATTCTCCAGTAAAGCTGGAGAAAAAGTTCATCATTCAACTTATTAAATAGTTTATTCAAACAGGTAGAGTAAAAAACTAGTTTATTTAACAAGTATTTGGCAAACACTACTTACAACACTCATATTTTTGGCAGTAATATCCCTAACATCCCTATTGCGATTTTGGCAATCACAATCCCTAAACTCCTGCACATTATTATCTAAAGGGGGAGACAAATATTTATCATTTTAAAAAATACATATATTTATCCTCATTCAGTAAGTATTTCTTAAATTCATGTTTTGACTAGGAGCTGGGTGAAAATGGTGAACAAAATATTTATGACCAATATTGGCATAGTCTAATGAGGAAGACAAACATTAAACAAAGGCACCAACTATAATCAATTACATAAAGGAAACTAACAGGGTTCTATAAAACAGAATAACAAATTTTGAGGGGAAATGAAATTTTAATAGAGAAATGAAAAATGAGTGGTTATTAGACATATGATGTGTTTAGCAAAGAACAGTCTGAGAAGATTGGGAAGGTTTATGCAAAGGCCCTGAGCAGAAATTATTTGCTGGTTTACAGTAATAATACCCAGAGAGATTATTTTGATTTGAGGTGGTCAGAGACCATATCATAACTGATATAATAAATTACCTAAGAATATGGAATTCCTTCAGAATTACTAAAGAACATATTTATCAGAGTTTTACACTTAATTCATTAATGTACTTGCTTCACAAAGTATCTCACATGGATCATTGTTGCCATTTTAAAAGATGTCATAGCCCAATGTGTGCAAAATTCCAGCTTATATAAATTAAGGTGTTTTCTTTTCTGCAGAACTTCCACAGTTTGGTATAATTATTCATACAGAGGGTTGGTTTCTGTATGATATTAAGAAAATCATAAGGAAGAGAAAATACTCTTACAGTCCATACTATAATTATTGATACCATAAGTTTATGTTGTCTATCTACAAGATTACTTGTCAGTACCTATGTCAATATGTCTTATATGATACAAAAGGCTATAGATGCTATTCCCATTACTAACACTAGACATCAAAAATGAAAATTTAACACGAAAAAAATTCGTATCTATTTACAGGTATAATGATTAATGCATTTGTTGTAACCCTTTAAGATATATATAGCTTTTATTTCTCAAAGAAGTAGCCATATGATTGCTTTATGGCTACCTAGTATAACTGATGCAAATGCTTCATGGTAGCCTAGCCTATTACACTAGTGAATAAATTGTCAGAGAATTTTTATGACATACAATATACAGCCCTAGTCATAATACAGTACTGAAAACTTGCTACGTTGCCTCAGTCGTGACCGACTCTGTGTGACCCCATAGACAGCAGCCCACCAGGCTCCCCCATCCCTGGGATTCTCCAGGCAAGAGCACTGGAGTGGGTTGCCATTTCCTTCTCCAGTGCATGAAAGTGAAAAGTGAAAGTGAAGTCACTCAGTTGTGTCCGACTCTTCCACCCCATGGACTGCAGCCCACCAGGCTCCTCCCTCCATGGGGTTTTTCAGGCAAGAGTACTGGAGTGGGGTGCCGTTGCTTCTCCTAGTGTCAACTCTATACCATATAATAACATGAAAATCAAATAATATTATAGCTTAAAATTTCTACCATATTTTAGCATGCCTCGTCTTTCATTTCTTGTACAAATCTATATAATTAGATAATTCCTGAAGAGTAGGGACTATAGTTAACAATACAGTATTGGATACTTGAAATTTGCTAAGAGGGTAGCTCTTACTTGTTGTCACCACCAAAAAAAAAAAAGTAAAAGAAAGGAATGAAGGCAAGAAAGAAACAAATACTATGTGAGATGATGGATATGTGAATAGCCCAATTGTGGTGATAATTTCCCAATGCATACATATATCAAACATCAGTTGTACATTGTTAATTGGCTATACTCCAATACAAAATAAAAAGTTTCTTTAAAAAATCAAGTTGTAATCTTTTAATATGTACACTTTCTATTTGTCAATTATATCTCAGTAATAAAACTTGGGGGGGGTGGACAGATATCTGATACTTAGAAGACATATTATCACCAGAAGAGTTATTTTCTAGCTTTACTTTATTTCATCAACGACTAGGTCTAATACTAAATTTTTATGCATGCCAAAAAGTCAGAAAATACAGAAATTTTACTAGTTGAGTCTTTATCTTATTTTATTTCAACACTAGAGTTAACTTTCAGAGCTAAGAATTTTTTAAAGCAGTTCCTGCTATAAAATGACCCAGTTGCCACTGAATAAAAGTTTTGTTGGCCTGATGTGAAGGTTGGCTGAAGGGGAGCTAAATAGATTCAGGAGGAGATTCAACATTGTCATCAGAAGATATGAGCACCGCACCACAACTGCACACAAGGAATTCTGCTAAAAACAAAATAAACGCTCACGACCAAGAGCAACTGTCAGAGCGAGTCATGGGAGAACTTATGAAATAAAAGACAGAGAACTGAGCCCATTCAGGTCAACCAGGTTTCATCAAAGGCCAGATGAGAGAAGAGACAGAAGCCAGCCAAGTGGAAATGCCTGTCTAGATAACAGTAAATGAAAGAACTGACTAAAATTAACTATGAACAAAAGGTGGTTCTCACAGGCCAGTCCTCCAAGTGATTGAAATGCAAATGCTTCCTATGAATTCAGTTTTTTCCAAACAGAGAGAAAATCCAAAATGAAACTTTTTTCATAATATCACCATTTTTAGAGATGAAAGTGACCCTGAAACTCATTTCAGCTTAAAGGAGAAATTTCTTAAAACCCCCCTAGTTCCCTAGATTTAGTGGAAACATCTGAAAAGAAAAAGTCACAAGGACAGTTACTGCTCTTTTTCTAATAATAAAATATGAACAAATACAA